TGGGTTTTTATTTTTTTTCTATTTTCGGGGGGTGGGGGGGGGGGGGCTCAAGTTCCGCATGCCTTAGCTCCTAGACCATTGACCACTCGTCCTCGAGAGGACGGAGCGTGGCGGGAGGGGGGTCCAGTGCAACGTGTATCGTGTGTCGGAAAAGCCTCATGCCGAAAAGGCCCTCTTGCTGGCGCGAATCGAGATTCGTGTCATTTCCGTTCAAGTTCTGTCCCTTGCCCAGATCATTCGATGAAAGTACTGGATTTGCTTGGGTGAGGCCTCCTGGGCCGCCCTTTACTACGTTAATCTATGTTTTCTTCAACCACATGTGTGTCAAGACAACAATAGAAACAACAACAACAACAACAACCACCCAAGCTGCGAATCTAGGTCTGGCCCACCCAACCTTTTTTACTCTCTCCCCTGCGTGATAACGCTTACCCTAGCCCGGGCTACCTCACCTGGAAGTGCTCGCTGGAGATCAGGCGCGCCAGCAGGTTGAAGAGCTGGTCCTCCACCTCAGCTATCTGGTCCGGTCCCGCCAGCAACTCCAGCACCTCCTCCAGCTCGTTAATGAAAATCACTTGCTTGCTCGAGCTTCGCCACGGCCAGAACCGAATCAGGCTCTGGAGTGCCGCCGCGGGGTAGTGATCACAGCGAAAGCGTCGTGGCAGGGGGCGAGTGGCTGATACGCGATGATGGTTCGTGAGGCGTGATCGAAGGAGGTTGTTGGCTAGCACGATCGATCGTTGCATGACACGCCGGTTGGTATACAGTAGGCGACAACAGCACCGAAAACTACAACGTACGCCGTGGCTTGCTTGCTGAGGAACCCTCCCCACTCAAGCAAGAGAACAAAACCTGTCTATCCGGTGTGCTCAGCACCTCTATTGACAAGACGGGTTTTTGCCCATTTGCCTTCTACTTTTGCTGTCTCGTCTGGGTTCCGGTGTGCTCAGCACCCAATAGATCATTAAGACGGGATATTGCTCCTTGCCTTCTATTGTTGTTGTTTCGTCCGGGTGCCGGTGCGCTCACCGCCTCCATTGGGTGCTGGGCACAACGGAACCCAGACCAGACAGGAAAAAGAGAAGGCAAGCAGCAACACCCGTCCATAAAAAAAGGTGCTGAGCACACCGGAGCCCAAACGAAACAACAAAGAAACGGCTGTAACCTTAGGCCGCAACCCAAACCATAGCCGCGACTTCGTACTTTGAGGATATGTGTTGCCGTGTCCGCCTCCTTCTCCACGTACTGCACGACGCAGTAGCTCAGCTGCTGGTGGTAGATGTTGACCATGGTCGGCGTGTGCAGCGGCAGCAGGCAGACCTGCAAGAAGTCCACTGTTGTGCGCGCCCGGCATGTGCAGCAGGGTAGTTTCCCGGCCCCCAAGCAGGACAAAGAAGAGTACGCAAGACAAAGGCGATCGTTAGGGCTCGTCTTGCTCTCGCTCACATGCGTGCTTGTTAGTCACATCAGCGGCAACCCGTTACTCTTTACAAAACGACACAAAGGCGTGGGAAAAGGACAGGAACGTGTTCAACACCGTGTTGAACGTCGAGGCACTATCCCCGGGGTGATGTTTCAGTGTGTGGGTCTTCCTGATGTTCCAGAAGCCTGCCACAATAACAGAAAGTTCTGGTAACGTCGCCTGTGTTTTCATGGGTATCGCGTTTGCTCTGTGCCCTTCCAGTCTGGCTCGGATAGCATGAGGTGGGTCCTGGAGACATCGTTCCGGAGTATTGCTCGGACACCGAGACAGAACCGGATATCACAAACAACAACAGCTCACACAGCAGCAGCAGCAGCAACAACGACGACAACAACTACAACAAAGACAAACAGTGAATATCAACAACAGCTAAAAGCAGCGGCAGCAGATCACACAGCAACAGCATCAACAACAACCAGCATCTCACGCAGCCGCTCATACAACCACAACAACCCATACAACGCGCGTGACGATCGACGATTCTTGACACCCCGGTGCTTGCACAGCAGTACTTCATGTCTCCCTCCTTCCCTCTTACCGTGTTCCTTCTTCAACGGCGTCGCAAAACCGTTCACGATGCTCCCCAGGATCTCCAGCAACTCCCCGATGCCATTGTGTCTAGGGCACTCATACACGAACCTGCCACGGGCGTTGGAATGCATGCACAAACAGATGGGCAATTGAGAAAACACAGCAACAATAGTACACCGGAATACAACAGCAACAGCAGCAACAACGATAAGAACGACAAGCAGATGGGGAAGGTACACCAAAATGAGCAAAATATTCGACCCAAACGGTTCACAAACATGACCGTGTGGTGAACAAAGTCTGACATGTATGTAGTCATGCGCTACGCGATCTATCCACCAGTTCTACGCAACCATGGGAAGAGTGTTGCCCACCTCGTCTGCACACTAGGTCACGGGTGAGGTCCAACACACTCGCCAAAGGCAACAAGGTCACGGGCTATGTACAAACGTGAAACAACAAGCAGTGCGACACCAACACCGTACATGTGATGTTGTGCCACCTCACACGTACTGCAAATATGAAAAAAAACGTGTGGCATTCTTCTTTGCTGACCTGAGGAACGCATTCCCCACAGCTCGCCGGATAAACGCTCGGTGCATCATGAACTTCCCGTACACCCTGTGGAGAATCGTCTTGAGGTAGTCTCGCTCCCGAGGGTCCTCACTGTTCCAATACGAACACACGAAACAAAGAGGTTAATCGAAGAACAACAAAAACAGACGGCATCGAGGGAGGGCAAACACTCTAGTCGCTCCAAAGCAGAACCATCTACGCCACACCCACAAGACAAAGACAAAGATTAAACAATACGAACGGACATCGTGGGGGGAGATGGGCCAGCACTCTCATCGCCTGTAGGACACCAACCCATGGGTCAACACCATCAAATTTTCATGGCACACGCACGAAAAACTCAAGCTGCCTGGCCGGCAAACCCTACGGAATACCATCATATTGTACGGCCACCAGTGAGGGCGCCGGCGGCCGAGAGACGCCGCGGTCTACGACATCCTTAAGAGTTAGGGTAACTCAACTGGGTTTCCAGGGACTCGACTACCCTACTAGTACTTCAACCGTTCGACATCGGGGACATGTTTATACCTATCCCCCTCAACGGATCTAACCCTCCTCATCGTGGACCGCCATGTACATGCCTCTCCTCAGCGGATCTATCTAACTCGTGCCTGCTGCTGTTTGCGCGACCCCTTCCGGGTTTCTCCATCCACTTCTTTTTCATATAAACAGCATGCGTGTACATACAGTATATAGACCCAGTCACACACTCACCTCTCATCTCTCCCCCCCCTGCCTTCTTCCACCCAACTTCTTCGTATCTATAGCATGCGGGAACATCACTGTACCTGACCCCCTCAACCCCCCCCCCCTCCCCCTGCCTCCCTCTCGGCTTACCTGTCGAAGAGATCGACGAGCTGCAAGCACATGGCCTGGTCCACGTACTGCTTGGCCTGCTTCGCGTCCACCTCCGACGACACGACAAACCGGACTAAAAACTCATACACCACCTGCCACGGAACAGAACACAGGACACGACGAAGAACGTGGGGCGCATTCGTCATCCAGTCGGTCGGATAGCGCGGTCGGCACCACTCGAAGAAACACAACAACACAAGCAAACACCAACGGCTTCTCACTGGCGCCACTTTAACAAACACAACAACAACACAAACACCAACCAATCGCTACTGAAGGCGGGCGAGACAAGTGAATGTCGACGACAAGACCAAACATCGCACAGGTACATCCTTGTTGTTGTTGCCTTCACAGTAAAACACCGTCCCGATCTCCGCTCAGTATCCCTCCCACATCCGTATCATCCGTATCAAACCGGTCCAACCGACGATGGCGCATTTCGTGGTCAACATCACACGGGCTCAGGAATGCCGCCGAAAGACATGGAAACCCGTCCTCTCATCTTCCCTCCTGTCACCTTCAGGAGGGGACAGGCCTCCTCGAGCAAAGGCCACACTACACACAATTTTTTTTTTGTCTCAAACGCCGCCTTAAGACATGCAAACCCCCTTTGCTCTCCTCTCCTGTCACCTGCAGGTGTAGACAGGCCTCCTCGAGCAAAGGGCACACTAAATAGACACGCAAAAAACGGCCATATTAAGACATGCAAGCACACCCCTTCCCCCCCCCTCCTCTCACCTGCAAGTGCGGCCAGGCCTCCTCGAGCAAAGGCTCGTCTTTGTCCGGATCGCAGTCGTCAGGCTGCGGCGGCAACGCTCGACAAATATTCGCCTTCACCATGGCGATCACGTCTGGCATCACCGCCGGGGGTGAAGATTTTTTTTCACCAAGGGGAGCGCAGGGGGGGGGGGGGGGCGTGTATTCGTTTTTAGAACTCATTCGAAAGCCCGGGGCAGTAGCTTTCATGTGATGTGAGTCGTTTGGCCATTGACCTCGAGTAATAACACAGGAGCGCGTGGTATGTTTTCCCCATTTGCCGCAATGTACCAACCACTCGAGGCGGCATGGTGGTGGTGTTGGTGGTGGGGTACACAGCACAGACTATTCTCATTTCGGAACCCTTGCACACACCAATCGGCCATTGCGCCGCATGTCCCGTGCCCAATCACATTCCGGAAAGCAAATGCAAAAGGTTTCATGTCCTCGTGCTGCTCCCGAAAGACCATATCAACGCCCTCGCCTCATCTACCGGCGAGCCACGATCCGGGGTCCCCCAGCACGATGTAGGCGTAACTTCCGCGAATGCCCTCTTTCTAACCGCGGGAAAGGCTCTCATCTGGCATCTAGCCAAAACAAAAGCTTCTACCCGGAATGGCTGTGCTGCCTAGCTTCGGGGTGAATGTCCCTTGTCTCAACTCACCTGTTGCCCGTGCGTCGAGTTGATGTACTCCACTAGCTCCAACAGCGTGCACCTCTTCACCTCCTTATCCCTTCAACACACCGCCGTCGTCATGAGAGCCACGCCACGTGCAACACCAAAAGGGCAACAAAACAATCAGGTTAAGGTTAAGTGTCGGGCGATTCAAACAGACAACACATGCAATAAAAATACGACAATACAAGATATGAACAAGGCGTCATCCTTTCTGACCTCGATTTTCCATATCGTTTCTCGCTGACGAGTCACCCCTACACCCCCCAAGGCAGACAAGTTCACCTACGGATATAACTCTGACCCCTTCCCACCTGAACTTTAACCGGTACAACCTAGATATCTCCTTTTCCCTTATCGTCTCTCGCTTTACGCTTTGACCGCCACGTAGACATTTGCATCTTTCCTCACCCAACGGTCAATCTCGTTAACCCTTCACACCACCCTACGACCTAGGGCTCTCTATCGTGTCGTCGCGTCTGACCTCGATTTCCCCATCGTTCGAGTCTAGCCTTAGCCCTAGAGCAGAAAAAAGTCACCTATCGGTTAAATGCTAACGCGCACCCCAGCTAACTCTAACCCTCCAACATGCAGGTCTCCATCAGTTGATGATCCTTTGATGGTGTCTGACCTCGAGTTCTCCATCGGGTCCGTCATGTCAAACACGACCGTGCACAATTTGAGCTTCTGCTGGAACAACGCCTCTCGCTGGTGCTGTGATGTGTCCTGCACAAGGTCAAGACCAAAACCACAGCAAAAAACATTATGAGTACACCGACATGGTGCACACCCAGCCTTGTCACATCATCACCAGCCTATAATACTCTCTGCACCGCGACCTATCTCATCCAAGAGCAAACATTGCTATCACAGCGAAAATACCGGTGTCTCGAGAGATTGGAATGGCGAGCACGGGCGGAGGTATCTATATGTTCTTGCCTGCCTTCGAAAGTTACAACAATTACCTTTGACCCGATGGCCTCCGCATCAATCGTTGAGGTGGCGCAACACCCCAATGGTCACCGAAGTACACAGCCAAAATGGGGGGGGGGGGGGGGGGGGGGGG